ACTACATACATTTTTAAAAAATCAGTTAATGAAAAGCATCAGGCAACCCCTCTGCTCTCTTCAATTCTCCTAGTGAAGGAGAATCGGTATGGACCTTCTCACACGGGGTCTAAAGCAGTCCCATCCCCGTCGCATCCCCGTCCCATTGCGCTTCCTTTTCCCCTGTGTTCACACGACGTCGCAGAGAAACCCCGCCCATCCCCGTCGCATCCCCGTCCCATTGCAGTTCCTTTCCCCGTGTGTTCACACGACGTCGCACCCATCCCCGTCCCATCCCCGTCCCATTGCGGCATCATCCAGCATCATCCCGTTCTTTTGAATGCCGGTTTCTTTGGGAATTACATTTTGCAGTGACCAGAATGATACCGGAATGATGCTGCTTTCTGTATACCGGTATAGTTCTGGATTGAAAAGGAACTGCAATGGGACGGGGATGCCACGGGGTTCTTTCTGCTTTAGGCCCCGTGTGATAAGGTCCTATGTATTACCAGCATACAGCAGTGCCATCAACTCTGCTCATGTATTTAATCAGACAACTTGGGGCTACATCACTCTGTTCTCATGTCTATAGAAACGTCAGCACACAAGTGACAATTTTAATGTTGGTGAGGCAGGTGAGAGGGACCATTTTGCATACGTAAACTGTATTTGATTCCCACCCCATATAAACACTTTCTTTCAGGACAGTCTCTGACTCTATACAAACATGCATGACTTTTCCATACTACATATTTGGAGCACTATGATTCTACTTCAATTGTCATGGCTGCATCCTGTAGATTCCTGGGATTTGCAGTTTGGGAAGGCATTAAAGCTTTCTGTCTGAGAAGCCTAAATACTCCTCCTTAAACTACAAATCCCAGGATTCCATAGGATGGAACCATAGCAGTTCAAGGGAAATCATACTGCTATAACTGTGTAACATGAAAGGGCTCTTGCTATTAACTGTCACTTTAGAAATATTGTAACTGGGATTACAAGAATGTAATAGCCACACAGGTATGTATGGGAGTATACTTGAAGCATGTCTACAATTCTTGGCACTTCTACAATGCTATGCTTGTTGCTGCTACCACCTTAGAATCCATTCTGATAATGTTGGGTAATGCTAGGCTAGCTTCACTGGATCCTCTGCTGAAAGGGTATTCAGCTTGAAAAGGAAAAAAGATACTGGGCTGTGGATAAACCACTGCCTTTTAACTCTTGTTCTCCTGTATTTGGCACTTAGCAGTAGCCATTCATCTGGCTACCTGAACTGATTCCATTCCAGCTGGTTGTTATAAAAACTGTAATTTTAAGAAGTGCTGCCTGAGTTTGGTTGTTATTCCTCACTCTCCATTCCATCTCTTCTATTATAAGGCTGAAGCAGGGAGCTATCCTGGTTTTTACTGAACTGCAAATGGCTCTGGGAGCCTTTTTGCTGGAACAACAAAGTTAAACATGCTATTACATGCCTTCTGATCCTATCCTAGGTTTCCTTGGCAAGATTTATTCAGAGAAGAGAATTAGGGGCTATGCACACCGGCCCAAAGGGCCGACCAGAGAGTGGAGTTGGGGTGGAGCAGCTGTACACTGGCTGCCCCAACCCCAGCCTGACACCGTCCAGATACCATGTGCCCTCACACACAGCATGCGGCATCAGGACACCCTTCCGGCACAGTGTGCAAACACGCTGCACTGAAAGGGCACAGAAGAGCTGCAGAACAGCTCTTAGCTCTTTTAGGGGCAGCAAAAGGAAGGATCAGGGCTGCGGTATGCAGTTGCTGCAGTCCCAATCCCCGGCTAGCAGGGGCAGCCCAGAGCCACCCATCTGCATAGCCCATTACTTGCCAAAGTTAGCTAGGGAGTTATGGCTGAGCAAGGATTCAAACCCTGGTCCCCCAGAGTCCTAGTTTAACACTCAGACTACACTATGCTGTTTTTATACCTGTCTCTGTCTCTAAACACAAAGCATGCTATTAATTAGTTAATTAATTAATTAAACAATAATTGTGCCATCAAGTCCCTGTTATCTTTTTCTTTAAAGCAAGGGGTAGCACCGGGAGCCAATTTTTTGCTTCTGGGCCTCTCCAGAGTCCCATGGGCTGCTAAAAGAAAATTATAAAAGAAAAGAAAAACAGAAATCTACTTTTGGATTCTGAAAAATTGCAATTGCTAAACACTGAAAGGGGTGGCATTTTATTTGAAAGGTAAATTGCCAGTCCCAGAAATGAATGCTTTCTCAGAGGCAATTTGTGCTTTCTTATATGTAATTTTATTGTAT